TTCTTTCATCTTAAATTATCAATCAAAAATATCAATCTAGCAAATCTAGATATATTAGATATGCAAATGTTTCAATCACACTTTCCCAAAAGCATTGTAGCCCGAGGTGAAGGACAGTTACAGTAATCTAATCTGAACTCAGGACTGTAAATTGATAACCGGAACATTTCAGCCAAGGTGCACGTTTGTGATTTTGAACAAGAGGAGAAAAAACGAACACCTGCCCAAAATAATACAACCAAAACTACACTCCAGTACTTAGTATGCATACTGCTAACTCCAAATGTGACCCACTCAGGAAAAAAAGAAAAGCTCGTGAAAGAGTTTTCTAAAGCTGTATTGACTGCATGTTGACGAATGCTTAACTCTTCTGTGTGTGGCCTAACCGGGGCACTGTTGTTTCAATGGTGCAAAGGTGCAAAGCGGCACATGACCAGACTTGTCATGCTATGTACTGTCTTAACATTCCAAACCCACAGGTACGCCTGTATATCTTCAGTTGCACAATGGTGAGGTGAAAATAATACTTTTTCGTGCATGACTGGTTTCGTAGGTTGGGTTGTCTATTATCAGTTGCCATCTTATACACGTGTCATACGAGACTGACCCTTTTGGAGCTGGTCAATTTCCTGCAGAGGGGGACCGCCAGCAACACAGACATAAAGTCAGTTTAGATGTTTGATGATAACCTACACTGCCCTCGCATAGCTCTAAGTCTCAGTACTACCTTGAACAATTTAATGGTGTGGAATGTGGGCTATTGGTTCTGGGTGCGGGCGTGAAAAGTTATTTCGCGAACTAGCCAAACACAGTACATCATTCATGGGTCTACAAAGATCTGCGAGAATGGATCAAGAAACAATGGAAGGTGTAATGAGAATTTGTGACAATAAGTTGAAAAAAAAATATTGAAAAACTATCATTCAAAACTTTATAAACATTTCTGCAATTCATATTTGTGTATATAACTACTATATAGTGATGAAGAACAAATGAACCCCAGTCTTCAGCAAGCAGGTATCGACATTATACATGCAATGACAGCCAAGTAATGGCAAAATACTGTGGAATACTTTATTTTCGCTGGAATTAATTTTCGCTGAAAAGGCTTTTTTGGCGTTTTGTGTGGAATTTATTTTCACTGATTTTTGATGAGTTTAATGTGAAATATAGGGGGGAAAAAAAGTATATTCGCTGGATTTTATTTTCACAGAATCATCCCTTCAGCAAAAATAAAGTATTCTACAGTAACACC